GTATACAAACGAACATGGAACAATACATTTATTAATCTGTGTTAATGTTAGATGATAAAAAGACAATCGTTCAGTGTTTGTTCATGTTTTTGTTGCTATCACGTGACGTAGCAGTGTCTGACTAGGGGCGAGACGTGGGCTGATGACGTCATTGTTTCAGAAAATATACGGATTTGCTGTCCACACGAAAACGCAAGGGCGGCGTTTTCAGATTTATACAATCTGATGACCCGGTTTAAAAAAATATCGGTTTCACTCTCCCAAAACGCCGTATCCATGTGGACGAAACGCCTATATGATACAAAATGTATGCGTATACAGCTAAACGCGTCTCTGTGTGGACGGGGCCTAAGAGTGGAGATACAGAATTCAACACCAAAGGAATGTATCAGTCTTTTAAAAATGCTAGAACATTTAATTTGACAACAACTGAATAGAGGTATCCACAATAATAAAGGTTCAGAAAAACACCCACACTTATTTGAGCAAAACATGTTGAAAGACAGATGGAATGTTTTATATTTAAAGCCTTTCAGCATGGTATTACATTGACAGAGATGTCTGTTAGACGGCCCTTGACCTGGGTACTCAAAACGCTGCAGCCCATTTACAGAACAATGTTCTGTAGAAAACTGAACATTGTTGACATTCAAACTGACTTATGTGAGAGATAGAAAAAACTAATTCTTGGAGTGGCTAACTTTACTTTCTTCTTTGTTTGTATAGGGCAAGAGAGCTTCAACTCCAAGAGTTTGGCCCTTCAGGCCCAAAAGAAGATCTTGAGTAAAATGGCCACCATGGCCGTGGCAAATCTCCTCACAGATGATACCAGCAGCGAGATTCTGGACGAACTCTACAAGGCCAGTCGTGAATACACCAAAAGCAAGAAGGAAGCTCACAAGATCATCAAAGATGTCATCAAGATTGCCCTGAAGATTGGCATTCTCTACCGAAACCACCAATTCAGTCCTGATGAGATGGAGACCGTCGAACGCTTCAAAAAGAAGATGAACCAGGCGGCCATGACGGTGGTGAGCTTTTACGAGGTGGAGTACACATTCGACCGTGGCATTCTTTCCGAGCTGCTGATGGAATGTAGGGACCTTCTCCATGAGCTGGTGGAGCACCACTTGACCGCACGCTCCCACGCGCGGATCGACCATGTGTTCAACCATTTCGCAGATGTGGATTTCCTGACCAAGCTGTATGGCCCATCTGAAGAGTACAGACTTAACCTGAGGAAGATCTGCGATGGGATAAACAAACTCCTAGATGAGGGCACACTTTAACCTCCAGTTCACGATTCGTCGGATGAGACTTCATCAGGCTACTGGAATTTGAATGGCGGGATTTTACGCAACTTGTGTTCTTTGGCTTTTGTTTGAAATTTAGGCTGTCATGATAACTTGATGATGTGATTGTAACCCAACCTGTAGGGATGGTCAACCAAATGCAGATTAAAGTCAAATCCTGGTCTGTATTGTCAACGTACCAGATGATTGTTTGGGGAAAATCCAATTAAGTGGAGAACCTGAATGAATCGGTGTCCCGAAAACCTGTCCTTTGTGTGCAATTGCAGGAACGTTTTAAATTACGAGCTCCTTTATTTGCACTATGTGAAATCTGACCCTACATATCCTTTAAGAATGGCCTAGCAATGCAACCCTCGCTTTCTTCTGTACTTCCATAAGAACCAGTTAAGATGTCCAGTTAATCTACTCAAAAGTTAAAGGGATATAGTTCATCCCAAAATGAACATTCTATAGTCAACTTCATGATGTTCCAAACCTGTATGGCTTCATTTTTTATTGTGGAACACAAAGGAGATGTTTAGCATAATCAAGGTGTTTTTTTCTGTAAAATGTAATTAAGGGGGGAAAATAAAACTATACTATACTAAAAAACTGTACCATAAAAGTGATACTTTCAGTGATAATTTCCCCTTCTGCTATTTCTAACAAATTTTTAAACATACAATTTGGTGCAAATCAATAAGTTATGAAAGATGCAAAAAAAAAATATTTGGTATTAGCATTGGCAAACCTGACAGAATGTGCTCTCTTAACACATTTTAACGTAAATCAATGTGAATGCAACAGCTTCGAATATCGTTTAAAGCTTGATAGAGTCTGACCCTATTCACTTTCTTTGCACAACCTCTTGGATTCTTCCGTAGAAATAAAGTCATACAGGTTTAGAATGAGATAAAGCCAAGTAAATGATTATGAAAATTATATATTCTTGGATGAACTATCCCTAAAGCGTTGAGAGCTTAAAAGAGAAATGGCGCAAACCTTTGCTAAACCTTTGTTGAACAGAGCATACGCCAAAAATAAATGCATAACTGAAGTGATGAGGGCACACTTTAACCTCCAGTTCACGATTCGTCGGATGAGACTTCATCAGGCTACTGGAATTTGAATGGCGGGATTTTACGCAACTTGTGTTCTTTGGCTTTTGTTTGAAATTTAGGCTGTCATGATAACTTGATGATGTGATTGTAACCCAACCTGTAGGGATGGTCAACCAAATGCAGATTAAAGTCAAATCCTGGTCTGTATTGTCAACGTACCAGATGATTGTTTGGGGAAAATCCAATTAAGTGGAGAACCTGAATGAATCGGTGTCCCGAAAACCTGTCCTTTGTGTGCAATTGCAGGAACGTTTTAAATTACGAGCTCCTTTATTTGCACTATGTGAAATCTGACCCTACATATCCTTTAAGAATGGCCTAGCAATGCAACCCTCGCTTTCTTCTGTACTTCCATAAGAACCAGTTAAGATGTCCAGTTAATCTACTCAAAAGTTAAAGGGATATAGTTCATCCCAAAATGAACATTCTATAGTCAACTTCATGATGTTCCAAACCTGTATGGCTTCATTTTTTATTGTGGAACACAAAGGAGATGTTTAGCATAATCAAGGTGTTTTTTTCTGTAAAATGTAATTAAGGGGGGAAAATAAAACTATACTATACTAAAAAACTGTACCATAAAAGTGATACTTTCAGTGATAATTTCCCCTTCTGCTATTTCTAACAAATTTTTAAACATACAATTTGGTGCAAATCAATAAGTTATGAAAGATGCAAAAAAAAAATTATTTGGTATTAGCATTGGCAAACCTGACAGAATGTGCTCTCTTAACACATTTGAACGTAAATCAATGTGAATGCAACAGCTTCGAATATCGTTTAAAGCTTGATAGAGTCTGACCCTATTCACTTTCTTTGCACAACCTCTTGGATTCTTCCGTAGAAATAAAGTCATACAGGTTTAGAATGAGATAAAGCCAAGTAAATGATTATGAAAATTATATATTCTTGGATGAACTATCCCTAAAGCGTTGAGAGCTTAAAAGAGAAATGGCGCAAACCTTTGCTAAACCTTTGTTGAACAGAGCATACGCCAAAAATAAATGCATAACTGAAGTGCAGCAGAAAGACTGTAAATAAAATTTGGGGTTTTGGCCTTCTGTCTTTTGCCTTTGTAATGATTCAGTGTCACAGCTACCATGATCTTGTGCTTGGTTTTTCCAGATCCTGATGTTTCAGAGCATGTAAATGTGTGTATACGTACATGCAGAAGAGAAATGTGACTATTCCATAAGCCTGTTCAGTAACCCCAGAGTGTAGCACTATTATCTGTCATTAAACGATCCATATGAACTTCCTGTAGTGTCCTTTGGTCATTTCAGCTACTGTGGTTGATCTGTGTTTGATTGGTCCATACTGTTTAGCCAGTTAAGGGTCTACTGGCAGTTAGAACCCAGACAGCAACATAGCGTTGGCCCAGATCCGGTCCAAATCTGGCCCGTGTGAAATCCATGCGGGCCGGATCTGGGCTGACACTGGTTTGTTGTCTGGGAATACTATTCTGCGTTCCATTGTGATATCCGATGTGGGATATCTCAACTTCAATTTCTATCTCCCCTGATCATAAACCATTCTTTTGCAATTTAGAAAGTCCATTTATTGTGATCTTCCAAAAAGGAAGTTCGATGGATGAGTTAAATGGAATGCAGCATTATTCTACTCAACATGTTTGGTTAACTAGAATAACTCTGCAGGGACATCTTTGATGACCTTGGCTGTGTTCACACTGTCAGTGTTTGGGATTGACAACCACATTTACATACAGGTGCGAGTTTCTAAATGTCCTGCAAGTTACCCAAACCACGCACTAAACGCATATGTTCAGCGCAGAGCTCTCTCGCACTATGTAATGTGACAGATAACTAGTTGTCCTGCACGGTTCCATCCGCACATCAGGGCTTTGCCGGTGTGAGATCAGTTATAGTCTAGAATGTGATTGTCACTTCCGTAAATAACCAAAACATGCGTGAGCGCAATACTCAAATAAAGGTCTGACTATATTCTGCCGCGGTGTGAACGTGGCCCTTGATAAGTAAGAATGTTTAACTTATAGTAAAGCTTATTACAGTAGTTTTATTTGAGTTGCAGCACATAAGTCCAGTGATGTTCTCAAGAAAGTGAAAGTATGATTCTACTTCAACATGAATAAGTATTTACAATTTTGAGTGAACTATCCCTTTATCCAGTTTTAACAAATGGTCTGGTTTGTCTCTTATGTGTGGATATTAGGAGATGTCCTCCTGCTAAGTTCATACTCATAAGTTTGGGAATTATATTACAACATCACTTGCGATTAACTGATTTTGTTTGGAATGAAATGGAGTCGTGGTACAATTTAATATTTTGCTCTTTTTTTTCATTTCCCGTCAACAACAGGGAGCTTTTTGCACTAATGTTATATATTGAAAACCAAAAGAATCACATTAGATGAACAAATTATGCTTTAATAATGTATCTTCTATCTTCTCATTCTCGTGTTGCCAGAGAGAAAGATAGGAAATGGAAATCGTTTGGTTTCTTCGTAAACCTCGGCTAAATGAGTGTTTTCTGGCAAGCTTTTTACAAACTAAATTGTATCATCAACGTTCAGAAGTACAACGTATTATGATCAATAACAATCTGCTTCTGCCATAATTCCTGACATAATAATTGACAAGCCCGGTTTCCCGCTGGTAATTATTACTCATGCGCTCAACTTGTAAATATGATCATTCTAACATGACTTGAAAGCAGCGTTAGATGATGTGACTAATGGGAGTTCAGTTAAATAACTCTATTCAACCACAACTAAAGGCACATTTCATACAACACAAAGAAGTGCTGTATGAGGCAGATCCTTTTAAATTAGAGAAGAGGACTCACTATTTACTAACCATGTCTGTCAGAGTTTTAAAACTTCCTTTTCTATTAACATAAAGAGTTTTAATTCCTCTTTTCTGAACACAAAAATAAGAGAACAGACTGACATTTCTCTGTGTTTGAAAGAACACATTTAAAAAGCATTAAGACAGAAATGAAATGCAAGACAAAGACGCTTTAATGACAAACATCTGGTGAACTTTCCTTGCCATTCATTCACTTTTAAAAGTTACTAAGCACTCACTGGTCCACATTCCCTGTCATGGCTGTATGAGCCAAGGGGTCAAGGTTTGACTGGTTGGCTTGCTCCAGTTAGTCCCTGCTGGTAGATGTTATAACTACACAATTACAGCATATAGGGCAACAGCTTCTTTCTCCATTGACAGCCATTCAAATGTAGTAGTGAGAAAATAAAATTAAATATAACATCTAAAGAGCATTTATTCCATTAAAGAATGCATTAGTGCCCGCCTATACTTGCAGCGACATTGGTTTCCACTCATTTTTCCAATTGTCTTTGTTAAAGCATTATAAGCATTGAACCAAGCCAATCAGTCACGAGGTGAATCACAACATTACACACTTTTACACCTTACATTGTATTTAACACCTAGTGAGGGAAGACCTACAATCCCATGAAGCATTGCAAATAACATAATCAAATTAAAAACAATGGAGAACTATAAAACTATTCAAAGTTGTTGATTATATATATAGAAACAATATATTAAGTTTTATCAATAATAATAATGTGAACGGATGGCTTTAATAAAAAGCATATACCATTGATTAAGAAACTTGGAACTCTCAGTACTGAGGTCTGTCTTTAAAGGTTTATAAGTTATTGTTTAAAATCTATTTCCCTACGGAGAAAATTAGATTTTACTTCAGGAAGCCGACTGCTGCACTCTGTAATAAAGCAGATGTTTTGCCAGTAACCAGTTTCTGGAGAATGAATTAAACTTAACCATAAAACTGCTTTAAGAGATTTGTTTTTTAATGATTTTTAAAGAGAAAGAATGTGATTGTCACTTCCGTAAATAACCAAAACATGCGTGAGCGCAATACTCAAATAAAGGTCTGACTATATTCTGCCGCGGTGTGAACGTGGCCCTTGATAAGTAAGAATGTTTAACTTATAGTAAAGCTTATTACAGTAGTTTTATTTGAGTTGCAGCACATAAGTCCAGTGATGTTCTCAAGAAAGTGAAAGTATGATTCTACTACAACATGAATAAGTATTTACAATTTTGAGTGAACTATCCCTTTATCCAGTTTTAACAAATGGTCTGGTTTGTCTCTTATGTGTGGATATTAGGAGATGTCCTCCTGCTAAGTTCATACTCATAAGTTTGGGAATTATATTACAACATCACTTGTGATTAACTGATTTTGTTTGGAATGAAATACGGATGGCTTTAATAAAAAGCATATACCATTGATTAAGAAACTTGGAACTCTCAGTACTGAGGTCTGTCTTTAAAGGTTTATAAGTTATTGTTTAAAATCTATTTCCCTACGGAGAAAATTAGATTTTACTTCAGGAAGCCGACTGCTGCACTCTGTAATAAAGCAGATGTTTTGCCAGTAACCAGTTTCTGGAGAATGAATTAAACTTAACCATAAAACTGCTTTAAGAGATTTGTTTTTTAATGATTTTTAAAGAGAACACACACACACACACACAAATGCCTCAAAGGTTAGTATTTTTTTTCCCATATACAATGAAAGTCAATGAGTGCTAGAGTTGTTTTGAACCCAGTTGACTTTTTTTTTTTGTATGGACAAAAAAAAACTTATTTTGGGGGAAATTATTCACACCAAAATTAGCACAGAAAAAGTGACATACATAAGCAGACTCTGCCTAGGCTTGTTAATTAGGAATGGCACCATTTTCCTAACAGCTCAGGATCAGAACACACACACACACACACAAATGCCTCAAAGGTTAGTATTTTTTTTTCCCATATACAATGAAAGTCAATGAGTGCTAGAGTTGTTTTGAACCCAGTTGACTTTTTTTTTTGTATGGACAAAAAAAAAACTTATTTTGGGGGAAATTATTCACACCAAAATTAGCACAGAAAAAGTGACATACATAAGCAGACTCTGCCTAGGCTTGTTAATTAGGAATGGCACCATTTTCCTAACAGCTCAGGATCGCCCACACAGTGGCTTCACAGATCAAGAATGTGCGACTGAGAGCCCAAATTTAGCTGCCACAGAAGACTGTGCTGGGCCGGGTCGCCCAGAAATTAAATAATTGTGGTAGAACAGAAAGACATGACAGGTTACAAATCAACCCACACACTCAAACACCCCCTCACAGTGTGCACTAACAGGGGAGCCTTAGTAAGATGAATGACAGTGCTTAGATCAAAGCGGTGGAGATGTGCAGGGTTGCCAGGTCTGCAAAACAAGGCCAAAAATGGCCATTCAAAAATTTAAAATAATGCAATTCCCATACCTAAAGTGCATATTTAAATAGTCACTATTACGCAAATTGAAAACACTAGTGATCATAAACACAACTTAAAGGCTCCCTACCAGATCTTAACATAATACAGTAGCACAGTATTGTCATTGGTTCAATGCAAGAAATCTCAGCCAAATATAATTCATGCAGCATTTCAAACCTTAAATCCACAGGTGAACAAAAATCAACCCACAGCAACACTTTAAAAGCAGCAAAATTCCACGTGAAAACCACAGACTTGGCAACCCTGTGCCATATATATATATGGCCTGACTCTTTAATGAATCCGTTTGTTTAGACGATTTGAATCGATTAGTGAATGACAGTGCTTAGATCAAAGCGGTGGAGATGTGCAGGGTTGCCAGGTCTGCAAAACAAGGCCAAAAATGGCCATTCAAAAATTTAAAATAATGCAATTCCCATACCTAAAGTGCATATTTAAATAGTCACTATTACGCAAATTGAAAACACTAGTGATCATAAACACAACTTAAAGGCTCCCTACCAGATCTTAACATAATACAGTAGCACAGTATTGTCATTGGTTCAATGCAAGAAATCTCAGCCAAATATAATTCATGCAGCATTTCAAACCTTAAATCCACAGGTGAACAAAAATCAACCCACAGCAACACTTTAAAAGCAGCAAAATTCCACGTGAAAACCACAGACTTGGCAACCCTGTGCCAGAGGGTTTATATATAAATATAAATATATATATATATATATAGCCTGACTCTTTAATGAATCCGTTTGTTTAGACGATTTGAATCGATTAGAAACTGTTGGTTTGATTCGTCACTCAATGATTTCTCAATGACTTCTCTCATCACAATGTTTTCTAAATTGTCATAAAATTGTCTCACTCTCACTGAAAAACGGTCTTAAATGTTGTTTTTGGTTTGGCTATTGTTCCAGTATTTGTGCTTTGTTCCATTTTGTTCTCCCTCATAAACTAGGGATTTACGAACGCTTTTCGAAACACTAAGATCGAATCATTAAAAATATCAGCTCAAAAGAACGATTCATTTGTGAACCATGACTTTGATCGTCTGACCGACAGTCAAACTTGCTTTTGAAAGACGATTTTCTCTCCTCGGTCTAATCTATAGTTAGCCTGAACTTTCATAGCACGCCACTATATTTGAATATCTTTGAATAAAAGGAAAACTGCTCTATAATTACACCCATGACAGAAAGCGGGCGGGATGGAGAGAGTTGAACACTCTGGTTTTAATCTCTTTATAACACCCACCAACTAACTCTCACAGACCACCCACCTCTGCTATATGACTAACTATGGACCCGCCATCCAGCCAAAGGCTCATAAAGCACACATGAACTTACACACACTCTCTTTGTTTACACAAATCATAACAGTGCATGATTAAAATTCACAGACCATTTTTAGTATCCTGAAGGTGTCTTTGAAGAAAAGAGATTCACATTGTTAGATGACAGAACATAAGAGCCATCTTTAGAAATATCTTTATAAAGATTTAATAGTATACAAAGTTGGTATTCACATATCAAAACAATCAAATCACTACAAAAGCATCTGATGTTTACACATTTCTGCATTTAGTGGTGCAAACTGAGGCAAATGTTGCTTAAAATATCCATACATGCAGCACAGATTCACAAACAGAAGATACCTTCTCTCTGCAGACATCATATGATATAAGCAGACTTTCACATGACATGAACATTTTGTATGCGTTGAATAACTTATCTGAAATCATTTTTCTAATCAACAATCAGTGAAGCTCCAGCTACAGAAATAAGAGGCACCAAATCAAACCCTCATCTTTTTAATATTCCCTGCATTTATTTTTTACTAACGATGTTGCGTGAGATGAGTTCTTTCATGATCTCGTTGGTTCCACCGTAGATGGGTTGAACTCTGGAGTCTGCAAAGGCCCTGAAAGAGAGCACATGAGACAATCATTAAAATGTTTCTAATGCATTTCATTCATGAGTCGAGATTGAAAATCTGGCTGGGTGAATCTCAAGAATGTTCCCGTCATATTTCACCTCAAAATTATATTAATTAAAGCCTATTTTTAGGACCATTACAATTTTTTACATAGTTACATTTTCATGGCAATCACATTTCCCCTCAAATTCTTATTATCATTAGGAAAAAAAATCACTCTCATTACTGAAACACATAAGAGATACTGCAAATATCTATGAATACATCACAATTTAAATAATATATAAGTAGTCTTACATTAAAGTAATGAGGACCAGAAATGTACTCATCTTTTATAACAAACATAAGAATTTGTGAGGAAAATGTGCTTCATTGTCATGAAAGTAAAAGACTCTTAATAGTTCAACATTTTTTATTTAATTTTTTGTGTGGAACATATATATTTGTATCTCGTTTTGGGGTTAGACGATCTCTAAAAGCTGTTTTTTTTATTTTTTATTATTGCACTAAGCAATATAACTAACAATATATAAATAGCAATATTATTTTAAAAGACTGGTCATGTATGAATATTCCGGAAGGCTCTGAAAGAGGCATTTTACAATAGAAAAAAAGAAATAACTAAAAATTCTCTCTTTATTAAAATCAAGTTGTGGCTTGTTCTGAAGTTGCTAGTTTTCTGTCATCAAAAACTATAGCCGTTCACATGTCAACAATGCCTATAAAGTGTTCAGAAACTTGGTCCAGCCAGTCACAGGAAGGTAATAGAGTGGAAGTAGGACAGATACTAATCTCCAGAAGAACTAATGATGAGTAAAATGTGTCAAAGTTCACCAAATCTTTTGCTCTTGCTTGTTGTGTTTAGAACCTGAATCCTTCTGAAGTTTATATGTAGTTTGTTTCCTAATCATTTCAGTCTAATCCTAATAGATTTTTCATCATATTTCAGTGTTTATTGTTATGTGAACCAGGCAATTAGACTATTAAAAAGAATGGAGCATGTCAAAATTACATTAGACATGAGAGAACAGTGCTGTACATATTCACAGATTAAAATAGAAAAGCTTCATTGTTTACGTGGAAAAATGATGCAGAGCTTTTATAAAAGATAAAACAGTATTTTAATGATTCTTTATTTACTGATAACAAAAATTAAATGATTAATTAATTAGTAATTAAAGGGACCATTTTTCTGTAGTTTTTTATTTATATTCCTATAACAATGTAAATAATAATCAGTATCAACAAAAATTTCCGATGCATTTCCCAGCAGTCATCTGTGGAATATAGTGCTCGATCTGAGCCTTAGAGCCATAGTGACTGATATAAGGCATTACAATCTCAGAGTGAAGAGAGAACCCAGGACCACTGCAGTTACAGTACATTCTACAACACAAATAGAGCCAGAACACGCACTACATTACAAACACAGACACACAAAGCCAAGGGAAAAACCTACATCCTAGACATTCAGCGTTGTGCTTGATTCGAAACTGAATTTGAACTGAGACAGCAAGCAAAACATAGAATTGGAATTCAAATTTGAATTTAAGGAAGTAGAATTATGATTGAATTGATTAAAAAACTGACTGCTATAAGTTTAAAACATATGACTGGTTTGCTACGGTATACCTATGATGAAAATTACAGGCCTCTCTCATCTTTTTAAGTGGGAGAACTTGCACAATTGGTGGCTGACTAAATACTTTTTTGCCCCACTGTATATGTCTATATTTATTTGTATCTATTATTCAATATTTCATTTTATTATTAAAATTTAATATATTTCTATTTTACACTTTCAGAACAGAATATGGAAGACATTTTGTGATGTTTGTGTTGATTTGTGGTAGCAAAATTCAAATTTGTTTTGATGACCGTGGTAATTATTTTGACAGGACTGAACACGAAACATATCTCAGTCTATATCTAATCGGTCCAATTCATTGATTTTATATTTTATTGCATAACTCCTGTTGTATAACTATGATAAATTTGACTGAATTACAGTTCAGTAAATTCCTCTTCCCGTCATTAAAATTTAAATTCCTATGGGATGTCCCACTGAAATTCACATTCATGATTTGAAATAGAAAGAGAGTTTTAAAATTCTGAATTTTGCCCAATCCACTGTAGGATCAGACAGGTAAGGGAGGAGCTACTATGATAGACCGGTGAAGGCGGGGCTACTCACTGCTCCTCCCACACTATAGCAGCAGACAGGAGGTCCCCTCCGATTCCTCCATGCTCCTCAGGTGTATATATTCCCAGCAATCCATGTTCTCCGGCCTTTTTCCAAACCTCTCTGCTGACCTCACCAGCCTTCTCCCACCTATAAGCATACAGTATGTGCATACATTTTCATTCTGTATCTATTACATTTTCATTCTGTATCTATTATGTCATATTCAGAGAGCGATGAACCACACTGGTGACTTACTGAGTGTGATACGGAACAACTTCCTCCTGAAAAAAACGCCTCACATTTTGACGGAACAGGTCATGCTCCTCTAAGAAGATCCGTCTGGTGCCGATGTCCATCAGTGTCTTGGCCATGGACGTTTCTGGTCGAAAGGGTGCTGCTGTTTCCCCATGCTGGACCTCCGCATGCTGCATTCTGGGAATCAAATGAACCCCTTTGCTATAGTTCTCCAAATATTATAAATATATTATTACCACTAGGGATGCACCGATATGAAAATTTTGGCCGATACCGATAACCGATTATTCTTTATTTTTGAAAGCCGATAACCGATATGTTGGCCGATAAATCTATATCCAAATTGTTATATACTTTTTGAGAGCCTGATTACAAAAAAGGTCTCATCATTAAAAGCCACATCCCAAACACTTCAACATAAGCAGCCTAGTTTGAACGGTGTACATTTTAAAAATATTTTTACTCTCCCATTACCAAATTTAGTCATAAAAAAGCCTTACAAATAAATAAAATTATGCATAAATAATGCAAACAAGTCACTGGACATCATTACACATGTAAAGAATCAAAATGAATGCGCAGGCCGATACCGATAACAGAAAAAAATGAGCATTTATCGGCCGATACCGATATGGTGGCCGATATATCGTGCATCCCTAATTACCACTGATATATCATCCCGTTTAATAATATATTCAACCATATTCATTACTCCAAGGTACCATAAAAGACAAAACTGTCCATATACGGAAAAGCATAATACCATTATACTTTTTTGTTAATATTTGCATTCTAATTTCATTCTAAAAAAAAAAAAAACATTTACGTATGTAAATGTAAGAAACACCAGTGTAATTTGAAAAAGCACATATTAACCTTCTGATTAACCCTTTTTGTTTGCTATTTTTAACCATTCAGGATGATATGTTACAACAAAACTACAATGAGATTATATTTTTTCTTTCCCACAATTTTATATATAGCTGCCCTCCTTATTTGTCATTATGATAATGTAAATTCAACATTTCTGATCACATTGGTAATGCTGAAAAAGATGTTTTATTGCAGACATATAATGTGGGGAAGGATTTGATATGATCATATTCTTTACTATAGAAAGTTAACAGGAAAAATAATAACTTTAATTGTTCGGTGGACCTTATTAAGCTGCCTTGCATGCTATATTTTAAAAGACAATATGTGACCCTGGACCACAAAACCAGTCTTAAGTCGCTGGGGGATATTTGTACATTGTATGGGTCAAAATTATAGATTTTTCTTTTATGCCAGAAATCATTAGGATATTAAGTAAAGATCATGTTCCATGAAGATATTTTGTAAATGTCCTACTGTAAATATATCAGAACTACATTTTTGATTAGTAATATGCATTGCTAAGGACTTCATTTGAACAAATGTAAAGGCAATTTTCTCAATATTTTGATTTTTTTGCACCCTCAGATTCCAGATATTCAAATAGTTGTACCTTGACCAAATATTGTTCGATCCTAACAAACCATAAATCAACAGATAGCTTATTTATTCAGCTTTCAGATGATGTATAAATCTCAATTTTGAAAAATTGACACCTAATACTGGTTTTGTGGTCCAGGGTCACATATATTTCATGTTTTTAGAGATAGTTCTTAGCTTTATTGTTTACACCAATGTTTTAGTAACAACACCTACCAGTTTCCTTATTGATTTTTTACAATACAAATTTAAATGTTGTTCATATGTAAAAATGCATCGTTTTTGCTTTCATGCATCAGAGAAATAAATAACTAAAACGAGAACTACCAAAAATGAACTATTTCTGTGAATTATGATGAAACTATGATATAACACGAACGATAATGAAAACAATAAAGTCAACACAAATGAGACTCACCTCGACATAGTCACGCTGAACGCCTGTTTACTCCGCAAATAAACATTTGTCGTCGCAGGAGAAAAAACCCTTAATGCCTTTAGTGCAAACATGCTGATGTGGACGTGATCAACTCAAAATCTGAGGCGCAATATTTGACAGGTCAAATATCGTCCGTGAACTTTACTCTAATTAAAGAGAGGACTCTTCCGCCTAAAGACGTAAAGACAACCTGTCAAAATAAGAGTCCTTTTACTCTAACGCCGATGTTGTCAAATAGAAGCTGAACGCATGGCTGTAATTCACTAGAAATATTCCAAGACATTCTAAAAAAAATTAAAACACGTGAATTAGTCTTGATAGTAATTGTTTGTCACTGAATGTCATTCTTGAGACATGGGACAAAACAGGTCCAGCAAGTGTAACTGCTATTAGGTTTAAAAGTACAAATATTTTCAATTTTAAATGGCATGAGGGATTTATAGTAGAATGCATTTAACACAAGTATCACCTTTAATTTAATTTTCTCATTATTATACCAAATCTGTGTTTCTTAATGTCCTCTCACTACATCTAAAACAGTGTGTCCACAGAGAAGGGTTCAATCATTCATATGCAATAAAATGGATAAAAATGTTTTTTTTTAATGATGAAAAAGAGCTTGTTTTTATCAAAAGCAACACTTAATAATATCTCCTATCAAAGCAAGGTTGTTTTTTAATGACACATGCATGTTTCGTAAGATTTTAAAGTTGCGTCCCCACTTTTTGTCAACACCGTCAGACATTCAATAAAATGTAATAAATGAATGAATATCAGGGGCAGCTGTCACTCTAAAGGACCCCCTAGCCACAGTTCACCTCTGCAGAGTACAGCAGTGTCAGACAGGCTCTGCTAAGTTTTAGTTTTAGAATATGGTTAGAGTGGGTGTTATATAGTGAGTGAGGTGATTAGAAACAGCTGTGTGCAATGAGTACAAATCAGTGCAGTGTGCAAATCGTACAAGGAATGATGGGATATGTAGTCCGGGGTGCTATGCAACAGTTTGAGTTGTGCGAGAGTCAATGTAAAGGAAAGGGTGACCTCTGGTGGTGAATAAACGGAAGTCCATGGACCGAATTCGTGACAGTATCAAAGCATAGCTCAGTAGCTTAGTACATATGAGATACATAAATGTATTTTCCTTTGTCTGAGTACAAGGTTTTATTTTTTCAATTTTGCACCCTGTTTTGTCCCACTTCTCAAGAATGACTGGTATACTATCGACACTATCTGAGCCCTGTATATAATGAAATGCCTTTATTCAGAGTAGTGAATGAATAATGGTGTTGTTATGCCATGTACTAACATGTAGGCTACTAACCATGTACTAACAGCTAGCCTATAACCAGTGTTGCCAACTAATTTTCAGAGAAAGTTGCTAAAGGAAGGTCGATTTGTTGCTAAAAGTTGCTAAATGCAAAATTGTCACATCATCAAATCTCAGCAAAAAATATATTTTATATGTGTTAATTTAGATTTGTTTGTAAAATAATATGCATGCTATAATATTAAAATATAAATAACTGTATTTTTAAATACATTGAATTATTAAAAACGTACACATTTTTGAATGATTTCAATTTAAGTTTTTTTAGTAGCTACTAAACTAGTAATTCTACACCTTCTCAACTAATATGCTTTAAGCAGTGTATTAGTAGTTAGTTAGTATACTACACTCTAAGAAAAGTCTGTAAAAATAAGGCACAATCTACTATGTTAATATAAAATAATTTTCTGTAATGTTTTTTTTTACCTGCATTTTAAATTACGCATTGTGTTTTCGGGTTACAGGTTACAATGGATAATGGATAATGTCCTGAAAGATTTTCAATTTGTCTTAGTGTACGAACTGATCAACAATCGCAGGTACAAGCTACTAACAAAGTGTATCATAAATGAACAAATATTCAATTATCAAATTATTCAATTATTATTATTATTATTAAATTGAACAATTGCAAATATCAATTAACTCAATTCTCGTGATGTGTGTACTGCTAGGCATCTGTGGTTTCCTCTTTTTGTGTCATTTGGATGGAAAATGTGTGCCTTTTTATTATCTGAGTCCTTATCAAAAGTTGCTAAAAGTTGCCAAATAAATTTTTTAAATTGCTAAATTTGTTGCTAGGTTCTTTTGGAAGAAAAAGTTGCTAGGGTAGTCTGAAAAGTTACTAAATTTAGCAACAAAATTGCTAAGTTGGCAACACTGCCTATAACACTCTACAGCAGAGATAGACCTAACTAACGATAGCAATAGAAATAAGACATTAGTGACCTCTACTGGACACCAATAATAAACACATCAAAAATCCCTTTATTTTTTTCGTAATTATTTGTGCATTTTACTAGCAGGTTATGAGTATGCAAGTAGCCTATATAAAATATGATTTTTTTTAAATCATTGTGTTGCATCTAATTGTTTTGTTTTATCAATGCTGTCTCATTGCATTCTCAACTAACTGGCTCTAATATAAGCTGCATTAAAAGCCTTGTGATGCAGAAACTGATGTATGAGTGTCACAGGCTGAGAGACTGATGCTGTGCAGAACATGTGGAGCAGTGCTAATGAAGAATCTGAACAAAGAGCCTGTTGTGTTCGGACTCACAGAGAAGAGCCGGATGACCTCTGTCCCACTTTCACACAGACGCAGAGCTGTCTGCTGCTGCTGCAAACATACACAATAACACTCTACAGCAGAGATAGACCTAACTAACGATAGCAATAGAAATAAGACATTAGTGACCTCTACTGGACACCAATAATAAACACATCAAAAATCCCTTTATTTTCTTCGTAATTATTTGTGCATTTTACTAGCAGGTTATGAGTATGCAAGTAGCCTATATAAAATATGATTTTTTTTTAATCATTGTGTTGCATCTAATTGTTTTGTTTTATCAATGCTGTCTCATTGCATTCTCAACTAACTGGCTCTAATATAAGCTGCATTAAAAGCCTTGTGATGCAGAAACTGATGCATGAGTGTCACAGGCTGAGAGACTGATGCTGTGCAGAACATGTGGAGCAGTGCTAATGAAGAATCTGAACAAAGAGCCTGTTGTGTTCAGACTCACAGAGAAGAGCCGGATGACCTCTGTCCCACTTTCACACAGACGCAGAGCTGTCTGCTGCTGCTGCAAACATACACGAACAGAAGCATATCAACTCGTGCACAGTGAAAGGTGATGCCTTGATCAGCGCAAATAGATATTGGAAATATTGCAAATATTGAATGTGCAAAAGAAATCTCAAAGTGGTTTTAAGACAAATATAGAACACTTGAAACCTTACTGCTCTGAGATCAGTGAAAATCTGCTTTGACAAGATTGTGGTGGGTGAACAGAACCGGTCATATGAATTAGGAACAGTACCCACAAACCCCGTCATGCCCTCAATACACCAAACAAACAGTTTGACAGATCAAACACAAATTTACCCTATAAATGGTTGGAAGACATGAAGAAACAACCGTGTTCTTGATTGAAAATGAAGGTTTTCTGTTCAAACCTCTTTTGTTTATTTTGTCTAAATAACACTCCGCACACAAGAAAAATGTACTTTGTTTAAAATCATATTTTCACTTGACACGAGAGTGTTGATGTTTTTTTTTATTATTATTACTATTTTCGTAATAAAAATTAAGGTCTTTCAAAGTTGCCTTTATAGTATGTAAACTAAACTAAACATTGACTAACCAAAAGTAAAAATGATACTTTCAAATTATAGTTAGCTTTTGTAATGAAATAAAGTATACAAATTCAAAAAATTACCTACATTAAGTAACATTTTAGCTTATGTTTAAAGAAAATATATTAAATATTAGAAGATGTGAAAGTCAAAACAGCATGTTCTTATTTAGTGAAATCTGAAAAACACTGTCTATAGGTTAATGACAAATTCCCATTATGGCAACTTATATTGGGGCATTTACACAAACGTTCACCATGCATTCGTTCTAAAATATATTAAATATTAGAAGATGTGAAAGTCAAAACAGCATGTTCTTATTTAGTGAAATCTGAAAAACACTGTCTATAGGTTAATGACAAATTCCCATTATGGCAACTTATATTGGGGCATTTACACAAACGTTCACCATGCATTCGTTCTAAAATATAAATTAGCAATTTTAATAAGTCTTTATATGGGCCTATACAATTGATCTTGAAATAAACCTACCCTGATATATGACCAATAAAAAAATATATTTTTTAAATTAAATTTAAAATTAAATTAAATTAAAGTTTTGCAGAATTTGATAACAGGGATGTATCTCATGTGCATCTGCCAAGCTGATAATGATTTCTCAATAATCAGATGCTTAATGTTCTCATAACACATGAAAGGATATTCATTGTCAGTGTTGGGGGTAACGCATTGCAAGTAACGCGAGTTACGCAATCAGATTACTTTTTTCAAGTAACTAGTAAAGTAATGCATTACTTTTTTAATTTACAAGAAAATATCAGAATTACTTTTTCAAAAAAGTAACGCCAGTTACTTTGTTTTCCCATTTATTGATTGACAAGTCTCCTGTCCCCATATTGAGAGAAATCAGAAGCACAGAGGCGTTGTGTGCGCTGTGTGAACATGATGTAGTTCTAGACTAAATGTGAATGTGCATTAATTCATCCCACTCACAAAAACAACTCAGAATATGACGCAAACCTCCAATAATTAAAAGTGTTAAATAACACAAATGTATCTAATCCAATTTTATTAACTAATGTCTTTGCTGCTGACCTTTGATGATCCAGTTTCACCATGCTAATAAGCAAAAATGACTTTAGATAAACTAACAATTGTGCTTCATTGTTTTTTTTATTGCTGAAGACTGTTGAACCTTCACCATGCTAATAAGCAAAAATGACTTTAGATAAACTAACAATAGTGCTTCATTGTTTTTTTTATTGCTGAAGACTGTTGAACCTTCTTCTCCTGCGTTTTACTGTACAGACGTGAATTTACTCTTCCTTCAGCCTGAGGTTTATTCATTACACTTTTTGGTGTGAAAGGGCTTTTACATTTGCTATAAATAGAACTTCTTATATTAAAAACAATCAAGCCCTGTTCATATTTAAAAAGTAACGCAAAAGTAACGTAACGCATTGCTTTCCATAAAAAGTAACTTAGTAACGTAATTATACAATATTGTAATGCATTACTTTTAAAAGTAACTTTCCCCAACACTGTTCATTGTTCATTTGATGAAGCTATTTGAGGTCACATGTCACCTGACAGCCTGTATGCACTGACACAGGCAGCTCATGCGTGTGACCTGCAGAGGCAAATCATGAGCTGTTTAACACACTCCTCCTGCACAAAACACATTCACCATGAGCAACTCACAACCTCCCAAGATAATCGAAGTCATGTCAAGTCATGTTAAGTCATGTCAAATAAGCATTAGTCTATATATGTATAAAATATTTCATATATCTTTTCATATTAAAAGTGACGTGACATGTGGCCAAGTATGGTTACCCATACTAGGAATTAGTGCTCTGCATTTATCCCATTCTAAGTGCACACACACAGCAGTGAACACACACACACACACACCGTAAACACACAGTGGGCAGCCATTTATGCTGCGGCGCCCGGAGAGCAGTTGGGGGTTCGGTGCCTTGCTCAAGGGCACCTCAGTCGTGGTATTGAAGGTGGGAGAGAGCACTGTACATTCACTCCCCCTACCTACAATCCCTGCCGGTATGAGACTCGAACCCACAACCTTTGGGTTACGAGTCCGAATCTCTAACCTTTAGGCCACGACTTCTCTCTCTCTATATATATATATATATAGGAATATAAAGTCATATAAGCATATACATCAACTTCTGTAAAGATTCGATTTATGCAATAAATATACACTAGAGATACAGACTCAATGTTTGTAAGTATAGTAAGTGCAAAATAAAAATGAGGAGGCATCAAAAGGAAACAAGCAAAGACAAATGAAAAAAATTAAATTAGTCATTTGATCTTTTCTCTTTGTATTTTTCTGCTAACATATACCCTTAAAAATAAAACTGTTTCAAAAGGTTCTTCAGAGCGATGCCATAGAAGAACCATTTTTGGTTCCACAAAGAACCATTCAGTCAAAGGCTCTTTAAAGAACCATCTCATACCTTTTTATAATCTGAAGAAACATATTTTGCCACAAACAGGACGGTTCTTCAGATGTTAAAGGTTCTTTATGGAACCATTTAGACAAAAAGGCTCTTAATCTATGGCATCGTGAAGCACCTTTAGTATTAAGAGTGTATTACAATATTATCCCTATTGTATTACATGGGAACACTGTCACAAGGTTCGTAGCTTTTCTGATAGAAGTTTTTGATCAAAAGTTGAATTAATAAAATGTTTTTGTCTCCCAGTGGTTTTATATGCTGCTCTCTAGTTTAAGACCTTCTTAAATTAGAATAATTTCAGTACATTCTGCCCTTCAAATTAAAATGTGTATTTTATCCCCTTTTTATAACAGCTTTGGGTAAACAACTGAGCATAATGAACTGTGTTTTGCAGGACAAGGTTGTTTTTTCCTTCATAAAAGTCAGGTTAGCATGCCATATTTTTATTGGGGTAAGTGCTATATGTATTTGACAAATAATGTATTATAAAATCTTCCTAAAATGAAGGGAAAATGTTCTTTTTAATAGTTCAAGCTTAATATTTTAGAACTCTTTGTATTTTTGTTGTTTCATCATTGATTTTGTGTTTCATAATTGTTTGCTAAAAGGCCCATAAAATGCCAGTTCCCATGGTGACATCAGTGTCATAAAAGGTCATCAATGAACTGTATCTTTTTTTCCTGGGCAACACATTTTCAATACCTTCTTGTTGTCAAGATTGCTGTCAAGTTTTGCCTATAAAACCATATCAATCCATCAATACTCCATATCACTTTATCCATAAAAGCACATATGAAATCTAATATAACAAGCTATCTATCTATCTATCTATCTATCTATCTATCTATCTATCGCTCCCAGCCAACGCATGTGTAGCCTATACCTCAAAGCTCTCTCTATACCCATATCTCTATACCTCTTAATTTGCATGTCAATCTGCATTGTCATAAACTGGTTCTTTTGGTCTTGTCTGGTCTCTAATCTACTCTTTTTTGCGCTCATCGGTCGTTTGCTGCCCCGCAGCATGAATGAATGCGAGATGCGCGTGTGACGCAGGTGCTTCAGACTGACGCACATGGGCGGATGTGACCGTGCCGTCCTCCTCCCTCATCCATGAGCTGCTGGAGTCAGGGCCCGTTATACACGAGGAGCTCCCATCAGCTTATCCGCTGTTAATTATAGCCAGCGACCTGGTTTCAGCACTGCAGGCACTCAACAGCTCCCGCGGAGCTAAAGCCCTTGCGCTTATAGAGGAGAGGCGCAGAGAGCGCGCGGCATCCTGCCAACCCCAGCGCGCTCCACAAAGCCAAACCAACGGCGCGTTTCTCTTCACAGAGGACAACAGAGAGAGCGAGAGAGAAAACATCTGAACCCCAGCTGAAGGATGGCGTCAAAACGCGTAGGGATGGTGGTTGTCCTTGCTGTGATAGCGCAGATCAGCGCGTTTCCCACACCTGCCGGACCCGACGGTGAGTTACTGAATAACCAACAAGCCTATAATCCAACACATCGGTCCAATATATTAGAATCCGACTGAGTGGAACACACAAAACATGCATGATGTGTAATAAAACAAAAAAATTGCTTCATGTATAGATTAATATATAGGCCACGTTAAATTAATCTGACGATATTTTGATATTTTGATATTTAGGACAGCGTCCAACTGACTCATTAATAACATGTCTGGACTTCAGCGTGCACATGCTGTGCTTTCAAATGGAAGTAAATGTTAGGATCTCTGTTTAATTTCAACAATTACATATGTATTAAGTTGTATTTTACATAGGCTGTAATGTGTATATATGGATTATGTTGGCCATCAGTATATATTAATCATTGAAAACCCTATATTGGCTTATAACTCCATATAAATATGGGAAGAAGGTGAATTAATTGGATGGTTTATTTTGTTTGTTTGTTTGTTGTTTTCATCATTTATTGTATAGGAAGCTCTAGCCTCAGTTTTCAGAGGCCTGTAATCTTTTGTCCTGTAATCCGATTATTCCGTGGCAGCTTCTCTTGGACCGCTTGGACTGCAACTGAATGCATCAAAGATCTCAACAACCATAGACAGATTGAAGAAAATGCATATTAATAACTATTTCTTTAGGGTAAAAATAGTCTTGTGTAAATGTATAGTGTCTTGATTCCTTTAAAATGATAGTCGATTCATACAACATACACTCTTAAAAATAAAGGTGCTTCAAAAGGTTCTTCAAGCGATGTCATAGAAGAACCATTTTTGGTTCCACAAAGAACCATTCAGTCAAAGGTTCTTTAAAGAACCATCTCTTTCTTACCTTTTTATAATCTGAATAACCTTTTTTCGCCCTAAAGAACCTTTTGTGAAACAGAAAGGTTCTTCAGATGTTAAAGGTTCTTTATGGAACCATTTAGACAAAAAGGTTATCCTATGGCATCGTGAAGCACCTTTATTTTTAAGAGTGTAGGTGCAAAAACTCGTTTATGTTGTTACAAAGTCTTTACATTATAATTACAATGTAATAACCAATCAATAGTAGTCTGAGCCATGATACTGTAGTGATACTGCAGATTTTTTTTTTCTCATTGTCCTCCTGGTCATAGTGTTTTTGTTATCCGGTGTGAGCGTATTAAAGGCATAGTTCATCCAGACATTTAAATTCTGTAATCATTTACTCACCCTCACGTTGTTCTAAATGAAATGACTTTCTTTCTTCTGTGCAACACAAAAATAAATTCAGTTTTTGGGTGTCTCTTTAAGGTCTGCAATGACTGATCTATTGTACCATCAGTAATCTTTGCCTATATTAAATGTGTTTGTGTGTTTCTTTCCTGTTCCAGATAAGAGCATGTATAACCGAGAGCTGACTGAAGAGAAGCCATTAGAACAGCAGGTGTGATTTCAGAAATATGAACTTATTGTTAATTTCTATGTTATGTAAAAGACACAAATATACTTTGTACATCTGCATCAGACACAACTACTGTTGTACTGTTGTACTACCCTTGATTCTGACCGGGTATAGATGTTTTATGCATTAACTTCAAATATATTTAAATTCAAATTTCTGTAAATGTCAAGACTGTGCTTATATTTATTTTTCCCCAACAGATTGCAGAAGCTGACAGCATCAAGAAGGCAGGTGAGGAATAATCTTATGCAGACATAGTGCTTCACAGTGATCAATAGCTCACAAGTGTTTTCTGTTCATCCATGCAGAACCCAAGCCAACGCCACCAGCTGAGGCAGAGTCAAAATCTGAGGATGAAGACATCACTTTCCTTAAGTCTCTGGCTGAGAAGTCCAAAGAGTCAAACAATGAGACTCCCATCTCAGATTCTGTGGATGAGCGATACGGTACTGATGAGGCCGACACTACCAAAAACAGAAGACTGGCCGATGATTATGACTCTACTAAGAATGGAATGGACTACAAATACCAAGGTAAGAACTGCAACTACCAAGCTGGCAAAGCCTTATTCAGAAGAGCACATTATGTAGTATGTGTACTTTGCAAAGTATGTTGTTTGCACTTTCACTGACTGTACACAATGCAATGAGCTTGCTGTTTCCAGTCTAACGAATGAACCAGATGTAATTTTTTGCATCTGTATTTTATTTATGCCCATTTTGATATGACTATTTGACAAAAAAAAAAAGTCAAGACATTTAAGTCATTGCCAAATAAAAATGTAACCATATTTATGTCCTTTTATAATTGCATGCTATTTCACTTATCATTTAGTATGTATTTTACTGTGTTATTATTCCATTTAACTATTTTCTGTGCCAGGACATTGTGGATTCTAAATAGTAAAATAGCCAGCCTCAGGAAAGCGTAAAAGATCAATGAAAATTTTTCTTAGTTGTGACTTAAGCCTAATTATCTCCCACTTTGAAAGTGCTAATCCATCCCTTTGACTGTATGTGATCCTAAATACAGGAACAGGTGGCAGACACCATGGGTCAATCAGGAGGTATTTTGTAGAGATAAAGAGACAGAGTGAGAGAGAGAAGGAGAGAGAGAATCAGAGGATTATCGCTCCACAGGCTGCTGTACTGGAGGTTTTATACAGTAGCATTAAAGCCCACAGTCCCCTACAACAGGGCAGTCAGACTAAACATACACCCACATTAAAAACCCTTCTAATAATAGCACAATAGCTCATAGAGGTCATGTCATTATTCCTTTTACCATTTTTCCCCGACCCTATGATATTTCTTGGATGAAAATCAACTGTTTATTTTTTTTTTTTCATGTTTCATTTTCTACTTTATGACTCTTACAATTAAATATGCAGTCGTTGTGCATTTTAAGTATGCCCTGTGTTATGATTGGCTAACCAACTATTGTGAAACTATTATTGCATATGGGCTACCAGTTTACTGCTGGGTCAGTTATACAGTAGTTTTGTAAATATATGTTGTCTTCCTTCAATAACAACCTCTTTGCATATCCACTGTTACATTGTGATGTATTGTGATTTATGATTCTTAATAAAATCGCAAAATCACAAAGGCTCTGCAGAGCTGTAGGTGCTAATCAGACTTCACCACATTTTACTTGTTAGCTCTTATGGGGTTTAGGAATAGGAATACCTGTTCTATGTCCTTCTTTTTACCTCACCAAGACTGGGTGGACCATGTTTCTGAACACAGAATAGATGTGGGCAGTCACGTGTTCATGTATGCCTGATGTCAGCTATCCAAGGAAAAGCAGTTTTTGCAGCTCAATTAACTTATAATATGACCACTTTAAGTTTTTTTTTATGACACCGTCATGTCATAAAGGCACTCAGACCACCTAAGACCTCTGACTCAGAATGAGCGTCAGACGTTTGATCAGTGTCACGTTTCAGGCAGATGGTGAGTTTACTGGAAGCGTTAAGGCAGTGTAAGTCGATCTATGTGGTAGATAATGGCAGATAACAGAGTGGGAGGTGTTTTTGTGTGATTTCACTGGGTTACAGACAGACAAGAATTGCTGGCAGATTTCAGCTCCATAGTTCAGATCTCTGTTTAATACATTCGCCTCCTACTTAGCTTCTGTTTAAGAGCTTTGAGCT